TAAACCTCGCCCGCTCTCTCACTCACCCTTGGCCCTGAACGTGGTGCTGTTGAACCAGCCAAGCAAGGGATGAGGCATGCCGTTCACACTTCCACAGAAACATCTCAGCTGCAGTTAAGATAGCTACCTGACTTCTGTTCCGAGCCAGTAATAAGTGATAATTCAGGTTCAAAGGGCTGAATGGCTGGTAACCGCGAATCACTGCTTGACATTAAAGACATTCAAATATGATTGTATGTCTTCCTATATCAGTAGAGGAAGAAGTGACCAACTCGACTGTTGATAGTTGAATCACTGATGATGGAGCCAGTATTTTCCAGGTTTATACATGGGACTGTCCTTTGGTGGGTCACACAGTATTAGAGTTTGTTGTTCAAGTCTTGAACATGGAGGTGTGGGTTGACAACTTGTGTCTTGCTGGATGTGATTCACAAACCTTTACTAATATACCACCACTGCACATTCTCAGACGCCTGAAGTATGTTATAGACAGGGATTTCCATATCGTACTGCAAATAATCAGTTACTGGTATCCTGAACTGTCTTGTCAGTAACATCAGTTACATGTAATCTACAGCACTGATGGCTTTAATGATTTGGACCTATTTTTGGCACCCGCAGAACTCATAAATTACTTCTTCCTGTTAATTTGTGTGCATGTAGGACACACTGTTTCTCATTGAGTGCACCCGGGAATAAGGATGCGATATACTTGTATATAGATGGTAAGTTCATACTTAATCAGATGTGGTATTTCCTCAGTATGCGCTAATTCAAAGTGAAGTGCATCACCTTGTAGGATGAATGCTATTCCCTCCTCCCTCCTAGTGAAATATGACACATAACAGCTGCCTCTGGACTTAATATGGTCTACAGTTCTTTCAGATGCTATTGAAAGTCCCAGCTCAAAGTGTTACTGGGCATGTCCAGATCGCCTCACCCTTAGTCTGGAATTGAAAAATATATCTTTGTTCCTTTGGGATTTTATATAATTAATATTCTTATATTTTTTGTAGATCAATATTTTTAAGTAAGATAACTTTATTTCTGGGACTAAATGTCCAGGTGTATAGTTTGCAAGCAGTTTGAGTGCATAAGTACTTACATGACCTTGACCTCGTTTGTGCCACCAAGAATTAGAATACATGTGTCACGATATTGAAGCAAGTCTGCCTACCAATTATCAGTACATTTTGACAAACTTTGATCTTGATGTATTAAGGTTCTTCATATGGAATTTGTTCTGGAAATTCTCTGTGGTCAACATGGGCTGGCTAACAAGAGCATGTGGCCATCAATCAGTTGGTGTTTAACTTGCATGAGTGGTTCATTAAATCTCACAGAATCACGAAATCAGATTTAGCATTCTGTTTTGTGATAGGATATTTAACAGTAGCTTTTGTAATTATTGAAAGACTTTCTGAAAATGTATACAGAATTAAAATATAATGCATGGGTAGGTGTGTTGTCCATTGAATCGCCTGGTGTCAAGAATCATCACTGATTCAGAGACACACGTTATGTGAGAAAATTTTGATTGGAAAGACTCTTTCTGAAAGAATAAATTGTTTATCTTAAAAGCCATATTGTCTGATCTCCATTGCGATAAAATTATTGTTATTCATATCTTTAGTTTTGGCAAATACTGCCTAAAAATATAATTTGGCTGAGCTGTTAAAGTGTTGGTCCGATCAAGGAACAGGGTTTTAATTCCTGCAAGGGTACAAATTGTGCATCCCATTTCTGGTATTTCCCATTGAATGTTGGTTAGAACAGTGTAAGGGCTGACTCTGTCACTAAGTAACATGGAACATTTTTTTGGACAATCTGAAAAGTTCTTGAAAAGAAAATTGGCCATTGCCATACAGAGAGATGAGAAGGAAACACTCCCTCAGATCCCCAGAATCTGTAGCAATTTTATCAAACATTTTACCCGGGAGGTGTAATAGCCCAGAAAGATTTTTCTAAGCATTCTTTCTATTGATGCTGTTTTGGAACCATTGCCATGGATACCAGAGGTTTTCTTTGCCTTCATGACATGCTGCCAAGTCGGCACAGAGATACTACGTCCTAGGTAAACAGACATATGTATATGTAACTGACGAGGAACCTTTCAACAACACACTTGATTCAGCCTGTGTGTTGGCATGAGGATGGTTCAGTGTCAAGGAGATGGCACCTATGGTATACAGTCAGAGCCACATCGCCTTCATTTCTTCCATCCTGCAAATGTTGGTAAATCTCCAAGACTACATACAGGGCCGCTGATAAATTAGTCAGAAATAGGTGCCAACTATCCTTGAACTATATATGGTAGTCTGTAGGCATTACTCTTCTCACATCATGGCTGCTACTTCTATATAGCTATGTGTTTTCCCTGTAACAACAAAGGTTATCAGCACCATGAACTATTGATTTTCTATAGCTGTTCTTTATATGATACATGGCTGCCTATATACGGCTTCATTGATACTGTATGCCATAAGAAATGAGATTGAATTTTCAGGATGTTGGTGACTTTCTGTAGAACTATGATTTAATTGAAACTTGCATTAGCTAAAACCAACCACAAGTTGCTGGCAATTAATTCTGATCATTTACTTTCAAATAAATAAAATCAAAGAATGATCACAACTTGTTTTGCAATTTGTACTTTACTAAGAAACTTTAATCAAAAATGCAACATATGTTACAGAAACTGTTCGGGTTGTTACTCAGAGAGAAAACTTTATAGCTTGAATCAGTAAGAAAACCATTTTGTCTCGAGGCCTTATATGTTGTATGTTCACTTTTCGGTACACCTAAGATGAATGTAGACAGTTGAAAGTAATAGATAAGTAATTATTGGTATTACTGAAAGAAACACAAGCTCCTAAGTTACACCATTATGGAAGTATGATTGCAAAGTGACATAAAATATAAATGATTAGGTTTTTTGTTTGTCTAAAGTTAATTTATTTAATTCATTTAAATTTTTTATTTAGTCTTTTGGGGGTTGGGCAGTCTTGTAAACCAGCTCTTAAAAATATATGGCTCAAGCAAAATCCATATCCACAAGATAATACTAAATACTGTCACCTAAGTTTATGCATAGAGACTTATCGAGGATATAGTTTCTAGGTTCGAATCTAGTCTTCCTTAGAGGTTCATAAATTATTAATTTTCAGCATATCCAGAACCCAGAACTGTCATGCTGAAACATATTATGTTCTGCTTAAAGTTTCCCAGGCTTTCAGCCAGCCACCCAGTCTTGCAGTCCCCTAACTAGGGGTGACTATTGAGGGGGAAACAACTATTGTGATAGCGATAGTCTATTGCAACATACTATTGCAATACTATTGCAATAGGTTTTTTATGCCCCCGCCATTTCCCTGTTTCCGTACGAAACAGGGAATGTACTCTATCCACTTCTCCACAAGAAATTCTCAGTGGAATTCAATGAACTTATACATGGGCTTTCTTGGGACTCTAATGGTGTGCATCTCATATTTTGTTTTTGTATTTCATTGTTTTTTTGTAAGTTTAGAGACATTTGAACTTGGGTACATTCTGCTGAATTTCTCTATGATGATAGTGTAATAGGGGATGAAGTCTATCCACTTCTCCACAAAAACTGCTCAACAGAATTGAATGAACTTCTACATGTCTTTCGTAGGGACTCTAAAGGTGTGCATTTCATAATTTTTCATGCAATTTCTTAATTTTGTCACTTTTAAAGATGCTTAACTTAGTTGAATTTTGTTCTATTCAGCCTGTTCGTTCCATCCAGCAGGGGGTGTACATTATCCACTTCTCCTCAAAAACTACTTCATGGAATTCATTTAGATTACACAAGTGCTTTATAGGGACTCTAAAGGCATGCATCTCATATTTTGATTTTGTATTTTATTTATTTTTCCAATTTTAATGCCGTTTGAACTTTAAATAAATTTTGTTGAATTTCTCTCTGAATATAGTGTTATAGGGGATGAAGTCTATCCACTTCTCCACAAAAGCTGCTCAACAGAATTGATTGAGCTTCTACGTGTGTTTCATTGGGACTCTAAAGGTGTGCATCTCATACCTTGTTCATTCAATTTCTTAATTTTGTCACTTCTAGAGATGTTTGAACATAGTTGAATTTGGTTCTATTCATCCTGTTCGTCCCATACAACAGGGGGTGTACTTTATCCACTTCTCCTCAAAAACCACTGCACAAAACTCATTTAGCTTACATATGTCTTTTATAGAGACTCTAAAGGTGTGCATCTCATATTTTGTTTTTGTATTTTATAGTTTTTTGTATGTTTAGAGACATTTGAACTTAGATAAATTTTGTTGATTTCTCTCTGATGATAGTGAAATAGGGGATTAAGTCTATCCACTTATCCACAAAAACTGCTCAACAGAATTGATTAAGCTTATACATGTGTTTCATTGGGACTCGAAAGGTGTGCATCTCATAGTTGCATTGATGTTTATTGAAATTGTTCGTGAATTTTGTTCATTTATTGATCTTTATATGTCTTATGAATGTCAGCGGGGGCATCCGTGTCCCTGGACACAATTTTTTCTTGTTTCTCCTTGAATTGTCCCATTTCCTTAATGAATGTATTGTTTATATGAAATAAAAGCATGTTGAAGGAGTTTCAGTCTCTTTTAATAACTGACAAGAAACTTGAAACCCAGATCAAGTAAACAGTTAAAGCATAAACTCAATGAAGCTGCAAGTCTGCACCCAAACATCCTGTATTTTGCACTGCGCATTTATCAACGGAAGGCAATAGTCAAACTATCAATAGTCACACATACTATCGATGCATAGATAGTTTTTCGTTTCTACCATTGATTAATTGCTATCGGAGACTCAACAATTGCAGTCCATCGATAGTTTGATGCGTCGTTAGAGCCCTACCCCAACTCATAGTCTCCAGGGGTGCCGCTTTCACATGTTGCAACCAGCAATCTCAGCAATGACAATGGAGGAAAAAGGTTTTTATTTTTATTTTTTTGTGTTTCAGATTGAGCAACTAAAGAATAAGGACAAGATAATTTCGCACTTGGAGCGAGAGCTGGGTCATCAGTCGGGGTATGCGCTGCACCTGGCGCTCGAGAGGGAGCCGACGTCACACGACGCCTCCCCCCACCCCGCCACCCTAGGTGTCACACCTAACATGGATCTCAGTCTCGGCAGCAGCGGCAGTAATGGCAAACTCGGTGATGGCAGTGGAACCAGGGCAACCACTTACACGGTAAGGAACTAAGTCCTCGCAGTGATAGCCCCTTCTTGGAGTTTCGAACACAGCAGCTACTCTCCATCCATCTGGTAGGGTAGCCTAGTGGTTAAAGCATTTGTTTATCACGCTGTTTATCACCTGGGTTCTATTCCCATTAATTTTGTAATTTGTTTAATGAAATTGCAAGGGTGCAGGATGAAAGTGGAACACTGTTCTGTGTTCTTAAACCCAGCCCACTTATTTCTTCCTGTGGACTAATGGCTGATAACCCAGGAATCTACCAGCACCAGTACTGAAATGCTGTTTCATATTGCAGTGTTATGTTTTTTACCAGTATCAGAGGAGATATGGTAGCCTAGTGTTTAAAGCATTCGCTCATCTTGCTGAAAACGCAGGTTGATTTCCAACATGGATGCAATATACAATGCTCATTTCTGGTTTCCTGGAGCCCGTTTCACAAAGTGATTGTAGCACTACGACAGTCGTTATGATCACCTTAGCACTAGTCGTAAGTCTATGTCTATGTTAAAGTATGGGAGTTATGATCACCTTAGTGCTACGACTGTCGTAAGTCTATGTTATCGTGTTATGGGAGTTATGATCACCTTAGTGCTACGACTATGTTAAAAGTCGGGAGTTATGATCACCTTAGTCTGATGTTATCGTTATCGTGGGAGTTATGATCACCTTAGTCACTGTACAGTCGTAAGTCTATGTTAAAGTTGGGAGTTATGATCACCTTAGTGCTACGACAGTCGTAAGTCTATGTTAAAGTATGGGAGTTATGATCACCTTAGCTACGTATGGGAGTTATGAACCTTAGTAAATGTCGTAAAGTCTATGTTAAAAGTATGGGAGTTATGATCACCTTAGTGCTACGACAGTCGTAAGTCTATGTTATCGTATGGGAGTTATGATCACCTTAGTGCTACGACTGTCGTAAGTCTATGTTATCGTATGGGAGTTATGATCACCTTAGTGCTACGACTGTCGTAAGTCTATGTTATCGTATGGGAGTTATGATCACCTTAGTGCTACGACATGTTAGTGCTGTCGTAAGTCTATGTTAAAGTATGGGAGTTATGATCACCTTAGTGCTACGAATATGTTAGCAAGTATGGGAGTTATGATCACCTTGAATTACTCACGACGTCGTAAGTCTATGTTAAAGTATGGGAGTTATGATCACCTTAGTGCTACGACTGTCGTAAGTCTATGTCGTAAGTCTATGTTAAAGTCTATGGAGGGAGTTATGATCACCTTAGTGCTATGTCGTACTATGTTAAAGTATGGGAGTTATGATCACCTTAGTGCTAGTGTCGTAAGTCTATGTTAAAGTATGGGAGTTACGATCACCTTAGCACTACGACAGTCGTAAGTCTATGTTAAAGTATGGGAGTTATGATCACCTTAGTGCTACGACTGTCGTAAGTCTATGTTATCGTATGGGAGTTATGATCACCTTAGCACTACTCGAAGTCTATGTTATCGTGATGGGAGTAAGTCACCTTAATGCTACGACTGTCGTAAGTCTATGTTAAAGTATGGGAGTTATGATCACCTTAGTGTATGTTAAAGCTACTACGACTGTCGTAAGTCTATGTTAAAGTATGGGAGTTACGATCACCTTAGTGCTACGATCGTTTAGTGAAATGGGGCCCTGGACATGATGTTGCTAAATGCAGCATGAAGCCACACTTAATTGTATACAGTATCATACTAAATATGAATATATATCCAACTGTTCACATCCTAACTGTTCACTGGAAATTCCAATCACGTTCAGGATGCAGTATATACAACAATCTTGGAGCTGCAATGAAAGTGTGTCAAGCTTGAAGCTGATTGTAGTGTTAACAAAGACAGCAACTTGATAATTAAGTTGCTACACATTCTTAGTTAACCTAACCGGTATTCTAGGTGTACACTTACATGTAGAATCATCGTAACCTGTGATTAGAGTCTGTGATGAAGCTTGATATGTGAGTGTCATACTTACTTACACCTTTATCCCAGTACGCTCTGATTATTGTGTACGCTGTTATTATTTCATCTGAAAGTGATGCTTGTTTTAATGTCTTCTGTTTAAAAATATTAACTTTATAACCTCTCTGTTGTGAGACAGGTGCAATGTATAATCATGTATAGAATTATGTTATCATGGATCATAGAACCTCACAGAAGTACTGTAATTTGAGCTTCGTCCATTCTGTAACATTGAAGAAAGTCAAGAAAAGAGATTTCAATAAACTGTTCAGCATTGAAATAATGAAAAAGTGGCAATCTTCGTCTTAATTGTTATTACCGTTCCCCAAATACATTTATCTAAACATATATTCTGTAAAATTTCAAAATTTGAAAAAAGAGAAATATAGCCACTTATATAATACTGAAACTTATGCTTTCAGTCCCAGAAATTCTCAGGAGTCCACACCCATCCATGGACTCTCTGTGACCAACTGATTTGTAACAGACAGACAGACAGACAAACAGACAATACTTTAATTACTTAAAAGGAATTTGTTTTGGTTCACAGAGCTTGACAAAAATACAAACGAATAACAACATAAAATATGAAATTACTAAAAACATAAAAAGAGATAAATATGTGCTCAAATATAATTAAATGAATAAGATGGTAACTGGACATTCAACATTTGTTTAAAATTGCAATACTTCGAGGTACAAAAGATGAACGAGCTCGTTTTGTCATGGTGATTTGCACTGTATAGCGGCAGCTCAAAGGTAAAAGCTTATACTCTAGATATAAAAAATGTGTTGTGTCATTAATGATTTTTTCAGACGTTGAAAGTTTTTGCCGCTCATAGAGACGTGAAAGATTATTGAAAGTGACGCCGGCTATTTTACTAGCTGTATTTACAACCTGGGCTGTATGCAAAAAAAACCTCATGCCACCACAAGTATATACCGGTAGATACTGATGCTGTATAAAGTAGGTTTGCATCTGTTGAAGTACAGCTGCTGTAATCACAGTAGTTCTGCTAGTCAGTACTGAGTAACAGTGTTCCTTCTATTGGTCATCACTCCATTGATGACAACTCACAAGTACTTTGTTATGCCCTGAAAACTCAGTACATTTATTTGTCCCTGGCTAAGTTTAACAATGGACACGTGCTTGGGTTGCATATGCGCATGCAGTATGTTTGTTCAGGGATGTATAATTTGTAGAACTGTTCTTGTAATCGGTGAATACTTAAGTATGTTGGACATGAGGGCTATGTCTGTTAGGGGAAGTAATTTCTTTAATTATTAGTTATTTCATTTATTGCGTAATCTTGACTGTTAAATCTTGTAAACTTGAACTCCATTGACTCAGTATGCTGTTGAAAATACTGTTATGAATCTGGCTGAATCAATGCTCTGACTGTGTGGTAGCACTCACAGCATAATGTTGCATATGATATGTATGCCTAATATATGGTTGTTGGGAAAATAGTATTGTCAAACTAAATGATGTTGCATGTGTTGCATATGCTTGACTTATATGTTTCTGAAGAAGAAAGCAGTATGACAAGTAACAAAAAGTTACATGGTTAAGGTATAGTTTTAAGGAGACTAGCTGTATCACTCACAATTGATATTCATGTTTGGTGTAGGTCTTACACATAGTTTAGGTGAATAGTATTAAAACAAGCAATTTAAATTTTGCATTTAATGTGTGCATCAAATGGGCATATGTTTTGAAGATTCCTTTCATTCTTGCAGCTATCATATGAGGGCGAGGGCAAACGAGCTATCGAGGATTTAGCTCACCTAGAGACTGAGGTCCAAGAACTAAAGGAGAAGTGTGACTGTCTGGTGCAAGACAACCAGGAACTGGTAAGGACCTCAATTTTTGTACAGAAATGTAGGAAATATTTAGCATGAGGTGTACTGCATCCATGCCCCTCGTCCATGACTGTACTCAGTCCTCTGTGTACTGTGACAGCATTACCACAAATATTGATATGGGTCTTTTGTTTTGAATCTGTGGTGGTAAATCTATTTTTAGGTGATAACCCTTTTGAGAATGTACTTTTGTGAAATCCCAACATCTTCATGCGTTGCTGGTTGATAACATCATTATCCCCACCCAAAAGTATTACTTCTGATGTAGAAAGGAACATTTGTGACATTTTACTGTGACAGTGTTGGGTGTTGTGAGGAATGCAGAGTTAAAATAAATTGAAGAATGGCATATATGATATTTTTGGTTTTGTTTTGTAATGGAGATACAATTTAGACTTTTGCAAATATTATATGTTACCTTGCTCTCAAATGATAAGCACTGTATATTGAAAAGTACCCTTAAAAGAATTGAAGAAATCACTTACATATCAATAATATTGTTTGTTATTAACTTTATGATTTAAACTTTGAGGATTAAACATATTTTAGTATGTAACATGTGTTATATTTGGGATTACACTTTCTTAGTAAAGTACAAATTCTAGTACTTTTTGAGTTGAGCCCCATCCGGGATTCGAACTCACACCCTCAGAGTCAGGCACCTAATCGCCAGCACACAAAGTCAGCCGCCTAACCCGCTCAGCTACCGCGACTTCCACAAAAATGGAAGTCGGACAACTGGTAGTCTAGACTGCGGGCTTTCTGTACCCCTCTGATAGGTGTAAATTGGACTTGATCCATTTAAGTATGGATATGTATGTGTTGTTTGTAACGTATTTTAATGTGGGTAGTGTAATATAGTTGGTGTATTGGTTGATGCTGTGACAACTATAGGCAACTTAACAAACAATTAGGGACAGGGTCACAGATGACTTTGTCTTCTTGTCAACTCAGAATTTGTGTTTGTATACAAATTAGAACTTGAATTAAAAGGTAATTCCTGATCAAGCTGTGTTAACAATCCAGGGTGTGATCATTTAATGGCAGAGCTTATCATTTAATGGCAAGGTTATCTAAAATGTTTACAAAACAGAAAGAATTATACCTTGTTAATTTCTGAGCTAACAGGTAAAATTCTTTGTCATTTTCTTCTCAGTGACTGACAATCACAAAAACAACTACAAAAATAACTGGTGACTTTAAAAGTAAAATATTTGTCACATATCTTACAAAAGAAACAGTATGGACCTGTATTTATTCTTAACAGTAGCGAGAACTAAGACCTGCTTTCATCTGATATTAATAACACTATGGTTGATTGATCATGCCATAAAACGTGATGCCCAAAACACTACAACAGTTATCACTTGCCCACTTTTATTTATTGTATTGCAAGCTCTATCCCAGGTCTTTAGGTAATGTGTAGTTCTTCATGGCCTGTCAGCCTGGTTTGAAAGTTGTTGAGTTTCATTAGAGCAGGACATGTGAGTATGAGACTCTGTTTACTTCCGTATGATTTCTACATATTGTAGATATTACAAGGTTGTATCTGTGTGCAGGTGAACAGACTGTAAATACACCAAGTTGTCTTAGAATGTAAGTCAATGACAGATTGTGTTCCTGTGGTGATGGTGGGTCAGATTAGGTCTTCATAACACACTGCAGGACTATCATAGACTACAGCTAGTTACGTGTCAATGGTGCTGGAACAGCAGGACCTGCCTATATGCATATCCTTTCCAGTCCATTCCATCATTACTGTGCCCTGTACACCTTGTGGAGTCTGGGTTATTGATTATTGATTGCTATTGAATATTCTGTGGCATTGATGTTTTTTCATCATGGATGTGTGCTATTAGACACGGGTTGATTAGTTGCAGGCTAATCACAAAGCAGATTTATCATAGGTTATGAATAAAAAGTAGTTTACTGTTATCCCCCATTCAGCAGTTAATGGCATGTATATTTCCCTGGATTGTGTTTCTGACTCCTTCCTCACCCTTCCAACCATTTCCCAATCCACATCCTACTCCTTTCCCGCTTTTCCTCCTACATACACATGGCCCCCAACAGACCGTTCCCTTCTTGTACTACAACCCCATCCATACCTCTCATCCCTGTCCACTCTCCCCTTATTTCCCTTGCAACACCTACCTTCTCCAACAATATTCCATACCTCTCTTCCCTGTCCCCTTTCCCCTTATTTCCCTTGCAACACCTACCTTCTCCAACAATATTCCATACCTCTCATCCCTGTCCCCTCTCCCCTTATTTCCCTTGCAACACCTACCTTCTCCAACAATATTCCATACCTCTCATCCCTGTCCCTCTCCCCTTATTTCCCCAACAATGTCCCCTCTCCCTTATTTCCCTTGCAACACCTACCTTCTCCAACAATATTCCATACCTCTCTTCCCTGTCCACTCTCCCCTTATTTCCCTTGCGACACCTACCTTCTCCAACAATATTCCATACCTCTCTTCCCTGTCCCCTCTCCCCTTATTTACCTTGCAACACCTACCTTCTCCAACAATATTCCATACCTCTCATCCCTGTCCCCTCTCCCCTTATTTCCCTTGCAACACCTACCTTCTCCAACAATATTCCATACCTCCAATACCTGTCCCCTCTCCCCTTATTTCCCTTGCAACACCTACCTTCTCCAACAATATTCCATACCATATACTCGGGTGGTCAGGCTCGCTGACTTGGTTGACACATGTCATCGGTTCCCAATTGTATAGACGATGCTCATGCTGTTGATCACTGGATTGTCTGGTCCAGACACAATTATTTACAGATCACTGCCATACAGCTGGAATATTGCTGAGTGCGGCATAAAACTAAACTCACTCACTATACCATACACCACCCTCCCATCACCACCCCTGTACCACATGCTATCAAAGACCTTTTCATTCCACAACTGTACCATACCCCCACATACCCCTTCCCCCTTAATGTTGCTTATACCATACCATACCCCTTATTATTCTCCCACAACACCTTCCACACACCATACAACTCTTTCTAAGCCACACCCTTTTCATAGCACACTCTACCCTACACTCTACCCTGCTATCTAGTACAACACCCTACTGACATACCCCACCCTGAACCCATCCTAATACACCCCTCACCCTCGCCGATACTGGACTTTCTAAGATGCCTAGCGGTTAGAACAATAAAAAAAACCCAAACATTATCAGACAATAAAGGTATAGTTTTTATGATGACGTAACAATTGAATGACATTATCCCGTCACTGTGCCATTCTAGTGTGCCCCCTCGTAATCGAACCATTTTACATTACGTCACAATGTAAGTGACATCACGATGAATGTCAGTTGTCATCGCCTCGTACGGCCTCCTGCAGTAAACTTATCCGTTGCATCCCGTTTCTTGGTTTGCAGTTGCTTCACGTAGCTAGCATCACTGGTGGAAACATTATGTTTATGTTTCACGACGGTTAAAATGTGTCAATTCGACACACAAGTTTTCAGCAACACGGTAACGTTCGCAATGTTTACATTCCCACAATGCAATCGTGGAATGTCGCTTGACTACTCAGCTTCATCTGGATGTACTGAACTAAACTTACGTTGGTAGTAGAAATGCAACGTTCATATTTTCCATATGGCTTACGTTAATGACAGATGTAATTAAAATAATTCATAGAAGATATTTAATCTGAACGTAAACGGTCATCAAACTGTTATCATTTGTTTATTTCTGGTAACGTTCGTCTTAACGTAGGGGGGCAGACACATCAATAGAACAGCGTGCTAGTTAGCCCTGTGCGAGGATTCTTAATTTAGGTCACCGACACCATCGTTTGTTTTCTGCCTTAAATTAATCGTACCGGTAATTATCCTTAGAAAGTATTAAATGTGGCATCTTAGAAAAGAAATACAGTTCGCTCTACCACCATGTATAGTGTAATAAAGCACACTTTCGCCCTGAACTATTATAACGTTAAAGCACTCGGACGCAAGCGTCCTTGTATTTTAACTATAATAGTGCAGGGCGAAAGTGTGCTATATTACACTATACATGGTGGTAGAGCGAACTGTATTTCTAAATACCCCACCTTTCTGATATTACACCCAACTTGCAGTATTAACACCAGCAGTAAAGTTTGCATGAAAAGAGTCTTATTGTCAGTGTTCATGTTTCAAGCCTGTTGTATGTTTGACACACTACACAATTCAATCAAGGAACAATATATATGTACATATATATTATTCAATGTCAATTTATTGTTGTAACTGTGAACATTATCAGTTGTACTGTTATGAAAAGTTAGACAGGTTTTCTCTAGAAAGTAAGACCTATTGGTTGTGTCATGATGTTACCAAGCAACCAGCCATTCTAATGCCTGTACCTCATCAACTGTATATGTACCTCATCAAACTCATTCTGACAGAAATAATTAAGCTGAAATATCACTCAAAATCTGTGATCCAATACCCAAGCCATAGGCTGATCCAGCCATAGGCTGATTCTTCAGCTGATGGTGAATGTTTCAAATCTTAGATTTATGATAAAAGGTAGGAATGGCAATAAAACTGAATTATTTCATGACATGAATTCATGGGTCAGTGTTATGTGGCCGTGTTGGGCCTCTGTGATGGATAGGTATCGGCTGACAGCTTTGATACAGGAACAATGGCACCTGGAACAGCCGTGGTTGGTTGACTGGAGGTGGTGACGGATTAATGTAATAGCTGGATAATTGCCGGGGAAATCAATTCGTCAAACGTGTGGGAAAAGTTGTCAAAATGTTGGTGTTTATGAGAAGTGGAAGGTGTTTGAAAATATTCTGTGAACATTTCATGATTTTAAGGATTCAGAACTGTCACGGGACGTACTTTAGACATACAAGGGGCAGGAGAACTTGGATATATTGTGATGAGCCAGTCGTTGTGCATGTGTTTGTGAGAATGTAGACAGAAGATGAGGATGTGATTCCTGGATATACATGAGTTGGTTTTTAGCTAGCTGACTAACTTTGTAGACATAGTGAAATATAATGATGCTAGAGACAAATGATTTTGACAATTTCTACCAGAAGAAGGGAATAGAAGAAGGGTCTTTCTTAATAGTGTTAGAACCTGCACAGAGATTTTGGCATATTGTATGTGCTGTTGACGTTCAGGTATAAGTTTTGGTGAACTTGCTTAAAAGATTTGATTTGAGTCTTAAAACCTTTCCAATTTAAAGTTGAAGATATATGACTAAAAGATAATACATTTACAAGAGTGAATACATTCCTTTAGATTTTTTCTGTTATTAGGGAAGATGCTGCAAGTATTCATTTTGCAGTTAGCATTTTAGTTATATTAAAAATAATACCACAGTACCAGTTTCATTAAGATTCCTCAGGTTGGCTGTGATCAAGATTTGAACACAGACATTGTTATATTCTGTAGATGCAGGAATGAATCAATTCAAAATGTATGTACTTTGTCAAGATCTGTTCAACTGATGTACAGCTGTTCAGAATTATTGGTAATGTTTCAGTGCATTGATGCATTGATGATGGTCAATATTGATGACTGATTGTAGCAGGGAACAAAAGTTGACTGGGGTTGTGACAATAAATGGTGAACTGGAACAGACATTCATACAACTATAAAATGGAGAAATTGGTTGATAGAGAATTACTTGGCGCCAAGAAGTCTGTGGAAAAGACAGTATTATCTGTACTATTAACTGTACAGGCTGATACCATTTTGGCATCAAAGACAGACAGGTGTTTACCAAGGTGAAGCTGTGCACCTGTTGGATTTACCTGCTGATTACATTTAATCAGGTACAAATTGGTTGTCTTAGGTGATACAGTCACTCAGATAGTTCGCTGATGTCAGTAAAAGAATGTGTATTTCTTCTGGAACAGATGTTTACTGACCAGCTGTAGGATGTATGTAGTATTTGTCTTTGGAATAGAATTGATAATGGGATATCAGTAAAATTATACTTTTGCAGTAGCTTTTGATTGATAGCAACAGGTTCTATAAAATATTCACAACAAATATACAATATATATACATTATGATTTTAGTGTTGGTTTAAACATATTTTTATTCCTAGAGAATCTGGTTTGGTAAACAAGCAGAACTCTGCTTATATCAATACCTCACCAGTACATATATCATTTAAACAACACTGGATACCAAACCGACAAATTAAATCATATATGTGCGTTGTAGGTGATTTTAGTGTTTGGCTTCTCAGTACTGATGGAGAGTGGCGATCTGTTTTGACGTTTAAAATGTTCACTTTTTAACAAGGTAGTGTCACCATTTTTGGTGAAATAGTGCTGGTTCTTAAAATGATAACTGATGAAGAACATTACACTGAGTAACCCTTAAGACTTGTGTTTTGTTTTCAGAGTAAGAAACTCAAAGATATAGAACAGAAGAACCGACAACTTAATGAAAAGAACAAGAAGTTTCTTGACAAGAATGTGGAACTTACCTCTATCAACCGAAACCTCAAGGACCAAACTCAATTGCTCACAGAGGATCACAGGAAACTTGTAAGTTTCCTTATGAAACAGGTCACTTTAGATTGTGTGCATTTGGTTGACATCTCTTTGAACAGTGTTCCAGTTTTAGCATGGCATGTCTGTAAGATGTTTGACGACACTGGTAAGTGTTGCAAGTCATCGACATTTACAACTTTTGTGTAAACGAGATGCCAGAACCATACTGGGATTTGAACCTGGGTTTCTTGCTCAAATAATGGATGTAACTGTGCACAAGGATTGTGCCACCATGGCTGCTAATGTTCCACCATACTTTATAGGGATACTATCATATGGAAGATTTCAGGACCATTAACCATCAAAGGAATCAATTGTTGATTCATAGAACAACTTTATTTGTTTATTTATTGAGCAATAATCGCTAATATTATATTGGTTTGTAAATATCCAAATCACGGCCAGACAATCCAGTGACTGACATCATGAGCATCAGTGAGATACAATGATACCTCGAAATGACAGTTTGGAAAAAGTATGTATGTATTGTTAAAAGAGTAGAGTTTCAGCTTTCAAAACATTGTGGGTATACTCTTCTGTAAAGCCAGATCTGAACAGGTCTCAATGAAGAATCATGATAACAATATTTGATGGTCGGGGTGGGGGAGGGGTTTATCAGCGGACACATATCAAAAGCATCAGTCTTTATTAGCCTTTAATTGTTTCCTTCATAGCTTTTATGTGCTTCCTAGCCTTGTAAAATGGAATAAATGTATTTAAGTTCATATTTTTTCAGAAAATTGAAGGGGATGTGTTTGACATTTTACATTACAATCGTATGAGACATAAATCTTCCAGTTAATGATGTATATTATGTGTCAAGTATAAGTTTTTCTTATTCTGACTGTCCACTGTCTCCCTGTTGATGCCTGTCAAATACATAATAAGCACTGTGTGTGTGAGGTGTGTGTAATTGTGTGACTCTGACAACAGAGTGCTGCTTTCCAGAAACTGATACACTGAGACTCATGTGTTCAAGTCAGATCGTTTTGACAAGAATTGTCCCGGAGAAGTTCATGTAAGAGGTTATTGTGTCTCAGTATCATTGTCTTGCCCTGTGTTCAAAGTCCCTTAAAATGTTCCCACAACATATGCTGGAGGTTGAGTAATAGGAGGCTTGGGGCACTGTAATGATTGGTTGCTAAGCATAAGTGACTCCCATCTGACACAAGAAAGGGTGAGAATGGACCTCTTTGTATGTTGTTTCAGGGGTTGTTTGTCAAATAGGTCCTGATACCGCATGGCCGAAGTACTGAATAAGCTCTTGTCTTGTCTCATTCCACATGCTTGCCGTAACAGCATATCAAACTTGCTATATCATCAGCCAGATAGTGACATTTAGCAGGCTGCTGGGAACTAGATGAGTGAGTGAGTGAGTTTAGTTGTTTGCCGCTTTTAGCAACATTCCAGCAATATCATGGCAAGGGACACCAGAAATGGTTTCCTGCTTTCACCCACGTGGGAATCGAACACAGTCTTTGGCGTGACGAGTAAACCACTAGACTACCCCACCACCCATGTGAAATAGGTGAATTGTTGATAAATCCGACATAAATAATGTTCCCTCCCTCCAGCAAAGTAATGTTGTGTAAGTTGTGGGTTCTCGAAACATAAATCTACAACTGGACCAGATACCTGTAGATGTTGGTTACATTGGTTGCAGCCTACTAACTTAGTGAGTGAGTGGGTTTAGTTTTATGCCACATTTAGCAATATTCAAGAAACATCATGGCGGGGGACACAAGAAATAGGCTTCACACATGGTACCTATGTGAGGAATCAAACCTGGGTCTTCGTCATGACGAGTGAATGCTTTAACCACTAGGCTACCCCACTCTTCCTAGTAAATTAACCTGAAACAGTAGGCAGCAGTATGTGGATCCCTCACAACACATCACGTGGTCCTCCTAAACCTGCCCCTGGCTTCCATTCCCCCAGTCTACAGTAATAGGAGATAGCTAGACAAACAAACACCCTGGCATTAGGTACAGAAACTATTACCTCTGGGGTTCCTGGTATGTCCTAGACGAGCTGTCCGAGTCACAATGCAATCAAGTTTCAGGGGTATCAAGGGGAGCTTGTTTGTTGTGGTTAGGGTCACAGGATGTGTGCTAATAGTTATTCAGGAGATCAAATACTCCTCTCATATCTGTTCGCACCATTGCTACCTTGTTACTTACAACTTTGGGATGCTGTACATGCTGTTTGTCAGAATGAATTGGATCTGAATGTACATAACGGTTAATAAGCACACTGTAAATATGAGTTGCATCTGTTGTTGTTCCTAATGATCTGCTTCATAACAACATCCGTGAATGTTATTATTTCCCCATTTGCTCAGCACTTACAGTAATTAATGCCTGGCACTACATAGAGCAAGTCTTGATTTTGCACAGACTGTTCCAACTCCCAAGTAAGTGGGGCTCCTTATATGTTATTGCTTGTTTCTATTTAGACTTACACATGTCTCTAAGGTAATAATTAATAGTATAGAGGATAATTTCTGAAAAATATAAATAAAAATAACACATTGTCTCTCTAACAAACTGGCATCCTTAGTGTATTGTCTGCTTTTGTTGACTTGTCTCTTTGAGAATAGAATTACTATACATCCATTGGCTTAGCATTCAGTACAGCCGTGAAGCAAAGCTAGTTTCTATCCAACCATCACATCTTCAAACACACATATTTTGCTCTTTATGGCAGAATAAATGTAATCTCAATCTATGTTATGATTAATAAGACCAGTGTATGGGTTTAGGCTTGCATTGTCACAGGTGCTCTTTAACCCAGAATGTGTGGAAATCCCAATGTCATAATTTTTCAAATCTTGGCATAAATTATGCAACTGTCAAAACACCTAGTTAACAGGTCTGAGTGCATACAGATATATTTGTAGTCACGCTTTTATTAAGTTGATAAGTTATTTTGATATTGCACAGCTGATAGCCAGGATATGCTCACCTTTTTGCGAACACCTGGTGTCATCACTTTGATTCAAGTGCAAGTGAAATGTCACGGTCACTTAAGGTTCTGTTTTTAATAAAGTGATTTCTTATGATGTTGGATATGTTTTTTGTCACTTCTATGAGTACAGATGTAATTGTCTGCCATAGTTATGTAAACAAGATTTGCTCTGCTGTGTCAGTTAGGATCACATCTGGCTGTGAGTAGTTGTGTTTGATGTGGTGGAAAATTCTCCCCCATATAGAATCTAACCAACCACAAGTCTCTGACATGAGGAATTATTCTTATCTGAACAATCTAAAAGGTAGCTTTTGCCAAGAAAAGCAAATTTGTAGGGAGAGTCCAAGTCAATTAGTCTGTCCAAATACCACTGTAGATGTGGCCTGTTGTTCCCATCTCTATCTCAGACAGCCCACACTGCTGTCAGGCAGTTCCCACAATTCCACCAGCACTGTTCCCCTAACAACTAGGTATTGTGTTTACACAAGGGAGGCTACCTCGTGCCCACCTGTCTACCTTGCCAAGTCTGCTGGGGCTGTGAAGATACTTTTTCCAGTAAAGTGTTAGGAAAACAGTTTCTGGTGTGAGTTTCAGAATGAAGATAAGAAAAAATATCAGGTGTGGAGAAGATGGACCTGGGTCCCGATCGACAAAGCGTTCGCAATGTTATGACCTGTCGTAACGCTATAATTTCCCATAGGCTTACGAATGGCATAGTGCTGCAAATGTTTTATATGTGGATAGGGCCCCAGGTATCTATGTTTTTGAGCTTTGTGTAAACATGATACATAATGTGAGTTGATAGTTATACAAAAATACCAGTATAAACCTTTCATGTAGTTTTGTTGGTTCTGACAAGTTGTGTAGATGATTTCAATGGTATGTTTCTGTGATGTGTTCTAATCCAGATGTGAAGGGCATGGGTAGCACACCTGTTTAAGTTGATGCAGTTTGCTGTGCAAAGGTTTATCCTTTAGGAGTGCAAAAACCTGTGATCACAGATTTGTTGTGCATACGCTGTTTTTGTGTTTGTCTTCATCACTGAAGTGCCAGGGTTTCACTGTGGTAAATATCTAGAACCTGTCTTGATTTCCTACCACTTGAAACTGACACGTATGGATGGAAATGAAACAATGGCAAATCGGCGTTAAACCAAACTCACTCACTTACTCTCAGTGATGAATATCAATCCAGATGCTAACAACATCCCTTGAGTTCGGGAACCTCCAGGAATATGAACATTCCAAATTAACATTGTCTTTCTGATGTGTCCTCTGTGTTCCAGAACCACCAGTATGAACATTGTGTCCTCTGTGTTCCAGAACCACCAGTATGAACATTGTGTCCTCTGTGTTCCAGAACCACCAGTATGAACATTGTGTCCTCTGTGTTCCAGAACCACCAGTATGAACATTGTGTCCTCTGTGTTCCAGAACCACCAGTATGAACATTCCAGACGCAAGTGTCAACAGCTGATGAAACAGCTGCAGCAGGAGCTTTGTGATCTCAGCTGCGCAGAAGAGAAGGTGCTGCAGATGGAGGGCATGAAGCAGCAGATCACAGAGCAGGGCAAATCCATCGCTGCGCTCAAACAGGCCTGCTCAGTGAGTAACTGGGGCACATAGAGGCACAAGTAGCTAGGACATAAACAGGCCATGCTTAATACGTAGATAAGACACAAACAGGCCTGCTCAGTGAGTAACTGGGGCACATAGAGGCACAAGTAGCTAGGACATAAACAAGGCCTGCTTAATAAGTAGATAAGACACAAACAGGCCTGCTCAGTGAGTAACTGGGGCACATAGAGGCACAAGTAGCTAGGACATAAACAGGCCTGCTTAATAAGTAGATAAAACACAAACAGGCCTGTTCAGTGATTAACTGGGGCACATAGAGGCACAAGTAGCTAGGACATAAACAGGCCTGCTTAATAATAATAAGACACAAACAGGCCTGCTCAGTGAGTAATTGGGGCACATAGAGGCACAAGTAGCTAGGACATAAACAGGCCTGCTTAATAATGTAGATAAGACACAAACAGGCCTGCTCAGTGAGTACTGGGGCACATAGAGGCACAAGTAGCTAGGACATAAACAGGCCTGCTTAATATCGTGATAAGACACAAACAGGCCTGCTCAGTGAGTAATTGGGGCACATAGAGGCACAAGTAGCTAGGACATAAACAGGCCTGCTTAATAATGTAGATAAGACACAAACAGGCCTGCTCAGTGAGTAACTGGGGCACATAGAGGCACAAGTAGCTAGGACATAAACAGGCCTGCTTAATACGTAGATAAGACACAAACAGGCCTGCTCAGTGAGTAACTGGGGCACATAGAGGCACAAGTAGCTAGGACATAAACAGGCCTGCTTAATAAGTAGATAAGACACAAACAGGCCTGCTCAGTGAGTAATTGGGGCACATAGAGGCACAAGTAGCTAGGACATAAACAGGCCTGCTTAATACGTAGATAAGACACAAACCGGCCTGTTCAGTGAGTAATTGGGGCACATAGAGGCACAAGTAGCTAGGACATAAACAGGCCTGCTTAATACGTAGATAAGACACAAACAGGCCTGCTCAGTGAGTAACTGGGGCACATAGAGGCACAAGTAGCTAGGACATAAACAGGCCTGCTTAATAAGTGTAGATAAAGACACAAACAGGCCTGCTCAGTGAGTAATTGGGGCACATAGAGGCACAAGTAGCTAGGACATAAACAAGCCTGCTTAATAATGTAGATAAGACACAAACAGGCCTGCTCAGTGAGTAACTGGGGCACATAGAGGCACAAGTAGCTAGGACATAAACAGGCCTGCTTAATACGTGTAGATAAGACACAAACAGGCCTGCTCAGTGAGTAATTGGGGCACATAGAGGCACAAGTAGCTAGGACATAAACAGGCCTGCTTAATAATGTAGATAAGACACAAACAGGCCTGCTCAGTGAGTAATTGGGGCACATAGAGGCACAAAGTAGCTAGGACATAAACAGGCCTGCTTAATACGTAGATAAGACACAAACAGGCCTGCTCAGTGAGTAACTGGGGCACATAGAGGCACAAGTAGCTAGGGACATAAACAGGCCTGCTTAATATAGATAAGACACAAACAGGCCTGCAGATGGGGCAAGACACAAACAGGCCTGCTGCTCAGTGAGTAATTGGGGCACATAGAGGCACAAGTAGCTAGGACATAAACAGGCCTGCTTAATACGTAGATAAGACACAAACAGGCCTGCTCAGTGAGTAATTGGGGCACATAGAGGCACAAGTAGCTAGGACATAAACAGGCCTGCTTAATACGTAGATAAGACACAAACAGGCCTGCTCAGTGAGTAACTGGGGCACATAGAGGCACAAGTAGCTAGGACATAAACAGGCCTGCTTAATAATGTAGATAAGACACAAACAGGCCTGCTCAGTGAGTAACTGGGGCACATAGAGGCACAAGTAGCTAGGACATAAACAGGCCTGCTTAATACGTAGATAAGACACAAACAGGCCTGCTCAGTGAGTAACTGGGGCACATAGAGGCACAAGTAGCTAGGACATAAACAGGCCTGCTTAATACGTAGATAAGACACAAACAGGCCTGCTCAGTGAGTAACTGGGGCACATAGAGGCACAAGTAGCTAGGACATAAACAGGCCTGCTTAATACGTAGATAAGACACAAACAGGCCTGCTCAGTGAGTAACTGGGGCACATAGAGGCACAAGTAGCTAGGACATAAACAAGCCTGCTTAATACGTAGATAAGACACAAACAGGCCTGCTCAGTGAGTAACTGGGGCACATAGAGGCACAAGTAGCTAGGACATAAACAGGCCTGCTTAATACGTAGATAAGACACAAACAGGCCTGTCTCAGTGAGTAATTGGGGCACATAGAGGCACAAGTAGCTAGGACATAAACAGGCCTGCTTAATACGTAGATAAGACACAAACAGGCCTGTTCATATAGTAGACTGGGTACAAACTGTCCTGCTGAAAAAGTAGCTAGACTCAAAAAGGCCTGCTCAATCAGTAGCTAGGACACATACAGGCCTGTTCAATCAGTAGTAAGGACACAAAGAGACCTGTTCAATCAGTAGCTAGGACACAGACAGGCCTGTTCAATCAGTAGTAAGGTCACAAAGAGACCTGTTCAATCAGTAGCTAGGACACAGACAGGCCTGTTCAATAAGTAGTAAGGACTCAAAGAGACCTGTTCAATCAGTAGCTAGGACACAGACAGGCCTGTTCAATCAGTAGCTAGGACACAAACAGGCCTGCTCAATAAGTAGTAAGGACACAAAGAGACCTGTTCAATCAGTGACAGGCCTGTTCAATAAGTAGTAAGGACTCAAAGAGACCTGTTCAATCAGTAGCTAGGACACAGACATGCCTGTTCAATCAGTAGCTAGGACACAGACAGGCCTGTTCAATCAGTAGTAAGGACACAAAGAGACCTGTTCAATCAGTAGCTAGGACACAGACATGCCTGTTCAATCAGTAGTAAGGACTCAAAGAGACCTGTTCAATCAGTAGCTAGGACACAGACAGGCCTGTTCAATCAGTAGTAAGGACTCAAAGAGACCTGTTCAATCAGTAGCTAGGACACAGACATGCCTGTTCAATCAGTAGCTAGGACACAAACAGGCCTGCTCAATAAGTAGCTAGGACACAAACAGGCCTGCTCAATAAGTAGCAAGGACACAAACAGGCCTGTGCAATCAGGAGCAAGGACACAAACAGGCCTGCTCAATCAGTAGCTAGGACACAAACAGGCCTGTTCAATAAGTAGCAAGGACACAAACAGGCGTGCGCAATCAGTAGCAAGGACACAAACAGGCCTGCTCAATCAGTAGCTAGGACACAAACAGGCATGCTCAATAAGTAGCTAGGACACAAACAGGCCTGCTCAATAAGTAGCTAGGACACAAACAGGCCTGCTCAATCAGTAGCAAGGACACAAACAGGCCTGCTCAATCAGTCAGTACACAAACAGGCACAAACAGGCCTGCTCAATCAGTAGCTAGGACACAAACAGGCCTGTTCAATAAGTAGCAAGGACACAAACAGGCCTGTTCAATAAGTAGCAAGGACACAAACAGGCATGCGCAATCAGTAGCAAGGACACAAACAGGCCTGCTCAATCAGTAGCTAGGACACAAACAGGCCTGCTGCAATCAGTAGCTAGGACACAAACAGGCCTGCTCAATCAGTAGCTAGGACACAAACAGGCCTGCTCAATCAGTAGCAAGGACACAAACAGGCCTGCTCAATCAGTAGCTAGGACACAAACAGGCCTGCTCAATCAGTAGCTAGGACACAAACAGGCCTGCTCAATCAGTAGCAAGGACACAAACAGGCCTGCGCAATCAGTAGCAAGGACACAAACAGGCCTGATCAGAAAGTAGAAAGGACATATTCATTGCAAGAGGGGCACTGTAGTAGAATTCTAAATAACTTCCTCTGGCAATAGGCAGATGTTGCAGCCTGATGGATCAGGTCACTTAATGTTCGAACATGTCTGGTACAGACAGATAGGCGTCAATAATTCAAGGACTTGAGTACATGTTCATGTGAAGAAAATGACATGTCGGCAGTCAGCATTATTTCCTTTGTTTCAGGAAAAAGACAGAAGAATAGAATTAATACAACACAGGAAGAAGAGAAGAAGGTTAATGAGATCACAGGAGAAGGTAGTGTGTGTGTGCGCATGTGTGTGTATTACATGTACAGGGCATTGGAAGGGATTTGTTTGTCGTTTAACACCGCACTCAGCAATATTCCAGCAATATGGTGGCGGTCTGTAAATAATCGTCTGGACCAGAAAAATCGAGTGGTCAACAGCATGAGCAAGGGGTGGGGCTTAGAGGGCTGTGTTGTGGTATTGGGGATGGAGTTCAGTGGGATAAGGGTGTGTCGTGAAGGGTGAGTATGTGGTTGGGGTCATGGCAGCAGTGAGATAAGGGTGTGTCTGGGTGGGGTGAGTGTGTGTCAGGGGTGGGGTGAGTGTGTGTCAGGGGTGGGGTGGGATAAGGGTGTGTGTCAGGGGTGGGGTATGAGTGTGTCAGGGGTGGGGTGAGTGTGTGTCAGGGGTGGGGTGAGTGTGTAAGTGGGGTGGCAGCAGGGGGATAAGGATGTGTCAGGGGTGGGGTGTATGTATGTGTCAGGGGTGGGGTGAGCAGTGTGTGTCGGGTGGGGTGGCTGCAGTGGGATAAGGGTGTGTCAGGGGTGGGTGGGTGAGTGTGTGTCAGGGGTGGGGTGGCTGTAGTGGGAGGGGGTATATTGGTGATGATACACTGAGTACCCAAGCTGAATATATTTCCTATGTTGGTCTAGTTACATGTACCTCTTCTGCCCTGGCAGTGTACGGGAGTAAAGGAGACCTTCTATGGATACGATGAAGACAGCAGATCAGAAAACTCAGAGAACTCGCTGTCATCTGTTTCCTTGACGATATCTGATGATGACCTTTGGGATGAGGTAAGAAATAATGTAATCAGGTTTTCATGTCATAGACATTCACATGCAACATATGATCTTAAAACTTTTGATTTATTGTTCACGACTGAAATTCATCAGGTCATTTGTTCTTGAACAAAGTACAGAGGGCTGTTCATTTGTCCAGACCAAAACACTGATATGTTAATTGCTTCAGGCAGTGAGCTGGGGATAACACTGCTTTGAAACCTGTTGAAGTTACATCAGGGTGTCTGGTTAGGAACTGGCAGGGGCTCAGACAGTTATCACATCATTATGAACATGGGAATTGTGGTGTTAGACAAAATATTAGGGTGAATATGTGATATGCACCCATGAACAGCAGATTCTGGTACTGCTAGGGGAGGCAACTCCACACAGTGATTTTAGTGCCTCAATCCCCAGTTGTTTAGTGCTGATATGTTGTGACTTGTATGTTGAATTTGATATGGTTTTTGAAGAAGTGTTTTAACTTTCTGTATAGCTGACCCGTGAGGAGGTGGAGAAGAATTACCAGAGGTTGATGCGTGAACACCAAGAGCTGCAGAAGTCCCATGCCTTGCTGCAGAGTCAGACTGACGGTCTGCTGGACCCACAGAGAGAGGCCAAGGTATGACTCACCATTTTGCTACCATTATTTATATAGTGAGTGAGTGAGTGAATATGGTTTTATGTCGCTTTTAGCCATATTCCAGCAATATCATGGCGGAGGACACCAGAAATGGGCTTCATACATTGTACCCATGTGGAGAAACGAACCCGGATCTTCAGCATGACGAGCGAAGGCTTTAACCACAAGGCTACCCCTCTGCCCCACAATTGTTTATAGATGTGAAATCAGAATCTACATTAAGTATAAATATGATAAGGACATCTGTCGGATACAGCTCTGGAAACATTTGCTCAAAAATTTGTTCACTTTAAAAAGGGTGTATTATGAATGTTTACAAATTTTAACAAAATTAAAAAGTAATATACTCTACAAGATTGTATATAAACAACTTATTGTTGAACCAGAAAAAATCTGGACCAAAATTCTGATGAGAACTCCTGTTGTGTTATACAAACAAAATTGAATTATTTAAAGATAGTAATATTCCCCAAAGTCAATGGTAACAACCAGATGTAAATAAACAGACAATATTCAGATTTTGACCAGTCTCTGTATGCGATCATATTGTTTGAAAACTGACAGCTTACTGTCTCACAAAACTGAAACCTTGTGTGGGATGGGAAAAGCATTAAGGGAGATAACTCTTCCATATTTGCAGTAGTTAATCCTAGGTGTGGTGATATATGTATAGCATTAGTCAAGTGTCCGTATTGGCTATAATTAAGTCTTCAGTTGGGTGTTTGGCTTTTCATATTGATTGCAGCAAAATAGTCACGTGTGTCCTTCACATGTAGGAAACACTATATTGGTCATATATGGATTTTGTCTGTATTTAAAGTTGCAGGCCCGAGTCAGTACATGATTTGACTGGAAAGATATTACATGTTACTGCATATGACTACTCCATTTGCTGGTAGATAACATCAATATCAAATACCATCAGAAGCCTTTAAGTGATCGTATGCCTAGGTTAAGATTTGAACCATAATATTATTCTTCTCCAGAAATGGGCCTTGTATCAATAGTATCTTTGGCTTGTAAGGTGATGTAAGAGCTCTTCTAGGGCTACCAGAAGATGTTATTAGATTCATTGTCAGTTTGTGTAAAATGTCTTTGACAAAGTGAATTCCCAAATATTGAGGGTAATAGAATAACCTAGAGGTTGACAGAATTGTGAGCAGTGGAGAAGATCAGAGTTTGATTCCCCACATTGATGCAATATATGGAATCACAATTTTGGTTTCCCTTCCAATCTCTCTCTCTCTTCTTCCTCCTCTCCCCCCACCCCCACACCAAACACACTGATGACAGTAAGAAGTTAATCACACATCATCTGATCAATGAAATATTTTATATTCATCATATTTCCTGTCAGGTCGGGGTTGTTGTTGAGTTTTCGTTGAAATATTTCTGTTACATTTAAAAAACATGTGAGCCGTTCCACGTGCGAACATCAATACACGTGACATACAGTACTGTTTGTGGATATCAGCCTTCACTCCCAAGATGTGTTTACATCAATAAAAGCCAACATCCACACCCAGGTTTAGCATCATCATCTGCATAGCTGCATGTTATACTCCCATATCAGGACACACGTACAGTAGCAGGACACGCGTCCCCTGTAGCAGGACTTACTTACACAGTGAGGCATGTGACAGTGTCTGGTGACACAGCTCAGTTGAAGCATGATGCTGGATATATCTGTACAGGTCTTGTAGCTCACAGAAAGTACTCATGTATATCTTGGTGCTTTCGACGTCTCCGGGGGGCGTCTGGACTCCCTACGCTTGGGTTTGATCGAGGTCTGTCGATATATATTTGATGTACTCATTGTATTAGCTGTTTTGTCAATCTGTGAAATGTGTTTTTAATTACAATATCAAAGTGCTATTTTTGAAAATGTGATGTAGTTATTGTTTCACATTTACTTTCAAATGAGTTACTGTGAAATATTTATTTAAAAAGATGGAAATGAAATCTTCATATCTGTCTGACTGACTGACTGAGTTTAGTTTTACGCCGCTTTTAGCAATATTCCAGCAATATCACGGTGGGGGACACCAGAAATGGGCTTAACACATTGTGCCCATGTGGGGAATCGAACCCGGGTCTTCGGCGTGACGAGCCAACGCTTTAACCACTAGGCTTCCCCACCGCCCCTTTCATATCCGTGTGAAGTGAGAAGTGTTTCACCTTATCAACTGAATGTGTGAAGTAACACTTCAGTGAAGATGCAGTTCATACACATTAATAAGGAATCCGGTGAACCTTTACAGTTCACTGCTGCTGGATAATAACCAGGTCTTTGGATTCAAACCAGTAAAGGGACACAACTCTTGGAAGTTTTGTCATCTTAGACCATGGGGCAGCAACTGAACTGTTAAGGTTTATGTGGTATGAAACAAGTCCCTGTTTTCAAGGAGATCATGAAAGTTTTTGGGAGTACATGATGTACTGACAACTGACTGTTGTTGTTCTGTAGATGAGGAACCAGCTGGAGATGGATCTGTTCAAAAGTCAGTGTCGGATAGAGGAGCTGGAGAAGTTATTGCAGGACACGGGACAGGTGAGTGAGTGAGTGAGTGGGTGAGTGAGTGTTGTTAGCACATCTGAGTAGGCGTTGGATAGTGGACCTACTTGGCAGCCCGAGGACAGGACTTTTAGAAACTGGACAATCTTTTCTGGAGTTATGAACAATTTTTGGTGTGTTTTATGAAAGGACAATGTTACTGTATTTTTTTGTAAATTTGAAAAGGTTAGACAACCTATCCATCAGAAAGTTAAAAGTTTTGTTATGAGCCTGCAAGTTAAGTGCATAGACAAAACCCAACAATCATGAAAGTCTTCACAAAAAGGTCAGCCCATGATTGGCAAATTGCCAAACCTTTTTTGGCCGTTTCTATGATGAATAGATACAGTTGATGAAAATACAAGGCCTCACTTGTAATTGGGGTGTGAGTCTCAATACGACATTTCATGAAATCAATTTCCTGTTCGGTCAGTCAATAAATCTTGAAGGGCTTCACCCAGGTTGTATGTTCTCGTTCATGTTGTAGTTGACTCGCTATAGGATTGTGACTGATGAAACTGTGTTTTGTCAAGTCTTGGTGATCTACAAAGTTACAAACTTAAATGTTTTCTGCTGCTATAAAGTAGCGACAGAGGAAGATAACTTCCTCCTCACATTCACATTTCTTCATTGACTGTTCCAGGGTGAAGCTTGTGAATGGCTCCGAGAGAAAGAGAAGTTCTTCATGTCCAATGAAGAGCTGCAACAGCGGGTAAAAATATCTCCTGAATAATCTTTAAATATTATGAAATTTATTGAATCATAAAATGAGCATTTTGAAATGTGAGTGTTATGATGCTTGTTGCTATTTGAATGGGAAACCATCAAGTTGTCAACAACCAAAAATTGCAAGTGATTCCATGGTATTTGACTGGCTCACCAAGTAATTTTGATTTTCACTTATGTTTCTAACTCTATTGATTCCTTAGTTGGCTTGGAGTAGCCGCGGTGGGGCTGGAGTTTGATGTTTTTATAAGATTTCTCTAATTTCGTATGAGAGACATCTAATTTTATATCAGATGTCTCTTATTTCGTATTGTCTGCAGTACATTTTGTGGATTATTATTAAATGAGGATTCTGTGAAGATATTACAGGTGACATATTTATTCATAACATATGACTTGTGTTCTCACCATGTGTATTAGGGATCCTAAACAGCACCTTCATATTACAGGTACAGGTGTTCGAGAGCGAGACCACCAACCTCCAGCAAGACCTGACGGAGAAGACAGAGCAGATCGAGGACCTGGAGTTCCGCATCCTTGAGCTGGAAGAGTGTGCACAGCCAAAGGTAGGGCCACCATGTTGGATGTTTGACGATCGACATCTCACTTATTTTCCAATGATGTCATCAGTTGGGAAAAATTGTGCAAAGGAACGGTTTCTGTACAGAGACAGATGCAGATACTCTTTGACACAACCACCATTACCAACATTTGTAACATTTCATAAAACAAATCCTCTCACTGACTTAGTCCATGTCACTGATGTCGACAACAAGAAGATCTCCTGGTTAATATCATGTTTGACCATTGTTGATTTGGTGATGAAATGCACTACAAGATCAGCCAGGGAAGAGGATATAAGTATACAGCCTTTGTTTATGCTGAAAGCATGGATGAGTATAGTTTTATGCCGCTTTTAGCAATATTCACACAATATTATAGCAGAGAGCACCAGAAATGGTCTTCACACATTGTACACATGAGAAATCACACATTGTACACATGAAATCACACATTGTACACATGAGAAATCACACATTGTACACATGAGAAGTCACACATTGTACACATGAGAAATCACACATTGTACACATGAGAAATCACACATTGTACACATGAGAAATCACACATTGTATGAGTTGAGAAATCACACATTGTACACATGAGAAATCACACATTGTACACATGAGAAATCACACATGGTACACATGAGAAATCACACATTGTACACATGAGAAATTACACATTGTACAGATGGTCTCTGGTGTGATGAGTTAATACTTTAATCACAAGGTTATCCCAAACACCCAATGCTTTTTGTAAGAGGCAATTGAAGGGATTGTGGATTTCAAGGTTGACTTGACTGGTTGACTTAATTTCATTGTATCTCTAATGCACCAGTCATTGGATTCTGTGGTCCAGACAGGGTTATTAACAGACCGTCGTATTGCTGGAATATTGCTGACTGTGGCATTAAACAAGAAACTCAAAATTCCACAAAGGAAATTTATACGCTTCAGAAATGAGATAATTGAATGTGTGATGAATAGGTTCTGAGGGGAATTTCTTGGAGAACAAGGGGGGTAACTCTTAGGGATCTTTCCAAATCACTGCCTGCAAATATCCTACCAGTGGCCAAGTTCACCTTTACTATTAACTGCTTGTAGTCCGCTACTATTTCAGGACTATTGTGGGGTCTTCCTGATCCATGTTACGTCACTCCACATCTACAGGAGAATTTATTGCATGTTATGGAGCACAAGCCTCAGGGAGATGTTGTAATCCGTGTAGATTCATTTCATTGACTCACTTCTAGTTGTGTGACTACATACACAAACAGATTGGCCTGGAGTAGGGTAGCCCAGTGGAATATGTGTTCACTCATTGAGACAGAGTTCCATTCCCAGTATGGGTGCAATGTTTGAGGTGTTTTTGTTTAATTTTGTATTCAGCAATATTCCAGCTTTTTGGTGCCTGTCTTTGAATAATAGAACCTGGACCAGATAATTCAGTGATTGATATAGTGAGCATTGATCTGCGAAACTGGGATACAATGATGTACATTAACCAAGTCAGTGAGCCTGACGGCCGCCGAACAGAATAGTTGACTCTTATGACAAGCATATGCTGCCTACGGGCTCAAGGATAGAAACCCTTTTTGGTGTCTTTCACAATGGTATGGTTGGACAATCAGTTTAGTTGGAATGAAACTCTACTCAATCGCTTACTCAAATGAGTAAAGAATTACAACAGACATTGAAGAACAAGATCTGTTAAGTCTCTGGACAACTGATCAGAGAGTGGGGCAAAGAAAGTTTGACCTGTTGGCTGCTCTAATGACCTGATGGTGTTAAAAACAAGCCCTTTACACTGACCTTAATGACTACCTTAACGTATGACCTCCTTATCTCCCAGTGACCAGTTCAATACTTATCTCCGGCTATAACCCTTCCTTGCCCTCAAGGAATTTCTTTGTGGGACACACTCGTCATTGCAACTCAGCACAAATGATGCTCCACATTCTAGATTAATAGCCTGTGGTGATCTAGCTGCCCTGTCGTTTGTCTATATGATAGATTCTTACTGGTTCTGCTTGAATGGTTCCAACACTAATCAGAATGAACCCCTCAGGGTTGGAATAAGGAGCAGAGTGATATGGCTGTGTGCTGGCCATTAGTTTTCTGTCTGAGTTACCGAGTTGATGTATGTTCTCTGATGGAGGGATTCTGATATCGCTGATTATGGATTCCTAATGGAGGAAGCTATCAAGGTGGGTGATATCATCCAGGAATTTCATCGCTTTATCCAGGATTTATGTGTGCTGTACATATCTGTGTCTGGCTCTGATATATGGATATTGGGGTAGGTTAATTCTACCTGTATAAAGAGTTGCCTTTATGTTTGGTAGTCCACATGCAAGGCCTGTCGCCCTGATAGTGGGGTATGTGTTAGTTTTTGGTGAGTTGTTCTGTGTAGATTCTCTGAAATTGTTAATATCTTAGTGGAGATTGTAAATAACTAGTTTGGTGTAATTTCTTAAATATTTTATGTGTTCTTGTAAAATATTGTTTAGCAATTATGTCCTAATAAAAGTCACAAATATTCTCAAATATTTCAGTTTGAAGTCAAATTTATTTTTAGCACTTTTTACCATATCATTTATATATTCTGATAGCCAAAGTGATAGTATCTTTACTGTAATGTCCAGAAAAAGAAATAACTATGATAAATTTTAACTCAGCTGTGATGTCTCTCTATTGTTTCAACTGTAGTTTATCTGTAACACTTTGACTATGAGGCAAATTTTCAGCAGTATTTTGTTACTTTGAAATTGTATTTTAAGTTTGATAACGCAAGCATACTGGAGCAAGCATTTATTACCTTGTGAAATATGATACTCAACAACTTCCCAGATTCCAGCACTGGTCGAAAAGAAGTGACATGTGCAATACATACCTAATTTTCAGATTGATATGTATACTTCTAATGATAAAGGTGGAGACCTCAGTATACTGTCAGTGTTAATAATGAATGTGCAATAGTGTCCTTAAGTCACATTTGACATTTAGCAAACTTATCGCATAATTCCAGAGTTTGCAACACAATCTGTTAGCTATTGTATTTTTAATCTGTAAGACCTAAACATGACAACATTTCTAACATCAACAGTTTCCGAACCTTGTACACTTTTCAGTATCCATATTTAGTCAGGCATACAGCAAGAACAATGTCTGGGAATAATGGGTGACACATTTGGTGGCGGCACTGTTACCTGAAAGCTGAGGGGGTTGTACTCTGTGTACACACATATGATAGTATCCACATGGTGCATGTGGCCTGCATTAAAACATTCATGTTAAAAACGTGCCAGATATATTTGGCTTGTGTGACCTACTCATGTTCTCTGTGGAAAGGTTTGTTGATAGTAATATAACAATGGTAGAACTAAGTTTAAAAAACGCTTTTGAGAATCTAATGTTGATATTGATGGATGGTAGTTTAAGATTATGTTACAATATAGATAAACAAAACTTAGTAACAGAAGAAAAATTGACATAGCCAGGCTGAGATTAACGCCTTCTTCCACAAAGTGATCTAAGCATCATTTATTGATGTAAGTCTGTGATAACGTATTGGACCAGGCTGACTTTATACAGAGAGATCTTAGTGCTGAAGTGATATGACAATGGTAGAACAAAACTAAAAAAAAGGTGTTAAGAGTCACGGATATTGAAGATAGTTTAAGATTATAATATAATGTGTATAAGTGAACATTAGTAACAGAAGGGAAATTGATATAGCTAGACTGAGATTAGGGCATTGTTCAACCAAGTGATCATATATTGATGTAATTTTGATGATAAAGTATTGGACAAGGCTGGTGTTAACATACTCTTGCAACTATCATAGTGCTAATGTTGCTTTGTACAACACTGAGATCTTTTGTGGAACTTAGCACTGACTTGGGATTATTCAGCAAAGTTACAATTTTGGGTAATTATGAATGATTATGTAACTGTGTACAAAAGCAAATGTTATTCATAATGTCATGTAGGTATTGTTAATACTGTGATCGGTTTTCCATGTAATATTCAGCTCATTGTCATGTAAAAAGAACCTTTTGATAAATCATTTTTTAAGAAATATTTTTGACAAGGGGTTTATTTGATGGTCTTCACCTGTAAATACAACCAATGGCAAACGATAGTAATTCCCATCAATATTTACCTGGCTGCCACATGCCGTACCTGTGTTCGATGGCTAGGCAGGTGTGAATAATAACCTCCTCATATCATGTCAATATTTATTTTGTCCATTGATTACAGTAGATCATGTTGACAACTGACTTTACCATTGTTCTCAGTGCCTTGACAATAGTTCCAGAATATATTTTCTGGGAGGCCCTGTTAGGGTTGGATGGTTATAGTGTTTGTGTAATAATGCATACATACTGTCATTAATGGACATGTGAAATTGATTGGAATGTATTTCAAATTTGATAAACCTTTTAGGTGTCTCTATTGTAATTTTAAACCAATATTGAGACTAACCTATTGTGTGCAATTGGTCATTGATTTACATGTATTTAAGAAGTTTTTAATTCTTAAATTAATATTTTACTTAAATAAAGAAGTGAAAGATAAAGTGAGTCACTTGAATGGCATTTTGAAAGATTTATCATAGACTCTGAATTATGCTACTGGAGGAATGAATACCCAACTTGAAGCATGTAAAATATTTAGGACAGGATAAATTAATGATTGTGTTCATATTACATGGTTGGTCATTGGATAATGGGTAATGTAGCCATGGAAACAGCATCATCATTCATGATCATCCTAGGAATATCATCTGAGGGTTACCGTTGTTAAGGCTTGGGAGTTACGATCATCTTCACAATCTTCGCTTTGTGGACAGGGGCTAGGTGGGCAGCAATTTTAATTTGGTTTACAGTGTGTAGGAATGTACTATCTAGTGTCTGGAATACCTGGGTTACCTTTCAACTGAACTGAAAAACTTTCATGCTTGGATATTTGTAGCAACATCACGTGAGCATCAGATGTAA